GGGGGGGGGGCAGCGACGACTCTCTTGTTTTGAGCTGTCCTAGTGCATGTTAGCATCCACCGCTATATCATGAATGGAAAGCTGGCCCGATGAGAGCCTGCGTATTGATCATAAGGATTCTCGTGGCCATACAAGCTGCCCACTTCTCCGGCGCTCCCCTAGATGTCTCATTTGCGCACAAAGATAATCCAAATTTGAGGCACATATCCTGCTTGTTTCCATAAAAGCTCGTGGACCCATTGTTTGTGTCGGCCTCACTCGCTGTAATGCCGCCAAGTAAGGAGCGCCTCACACCTACTGTGGATCATCACGAACCTAGTTCGGTCTATGCCGATGTGTCGTTTTCCATCGTGACAACATACTTCCTCATCAAAAACCCTTTCTACAATACCTTCTGGTCTCTTCTTCGAACTCGAAGCCTTCCCGCCCTTCCATCACCCGTACATCATTACTTGAGACGGAGAGTCACGACCGGCACTGATTACAACGCATACCGTCGGCAAGGTAGGTCGCGATATCGCTTCTCAAAACAATATTCATTGGTAATGATTAGCGTGGCCCAAACACTATTCCAAAATCAAGCATCGCGTCCCAACAACTTCCCTGGTCACTGTCTCATTCTTCGCCTGTTTCGGGTACATTCGACCAACCTAAAGGCTAACTAGATTCCCTGTTTCACCAGAATTCTCAGCTAGGCCAGCGAATCGTCACTATGGTAGGGGAAAATTCTCAATACGCCAAGAATGCCTCCTGATGGCTCTCTGAAGACATCTCAGTCCTCCTCTCTACAATCATGACTGAAGGCAACGAGGAGTTGCTGGTCAAGGGTTGGAAAGAGGTCGCTCAGATGCTTCAGCCAATATGGGGAGACAAGCATAGCCAGGGCGTATCCAAGTGAGTTTACATTTTATCCTATCAATTTTGATTTAAGGGCCTGTGCTGTCTGACCGAATTGACCCAGACTTCGCTTCCAGCAACTGCGCGTCGCTTGTCTGAAGATGGACCAGACAAATGCGAGTGATTCTTCCAACAGTGCCAGAGGCCCTTCTTGTTCTGCTTCTAAGCTTGCTACGTCCGGTGAGCGACGGGCGTCACCGAAGACAAAGACTACGTCCAGCGGAGATGGTACTGACCACGGTGATTGCGAAGAAGATGGAGGCGAAATGTCAAAGAAGCGAGCTCGTAAGACCAAGGCTCAGGCCGTCTCGGCCGGGATGGACCAATTTGAGTCTATTGGCGCAGTGGACGAGTCCTGAACGTTGGTTTGAATACTCCAAGGTGTAATGGACTTCGGGCTACTCGTTGAAACTGATGGCACTGACCTGACTTGTACTTGTACTGCGTTCAACGTCTCCTCGATTCAGACATGGAGACTGAATAGGACAAAATTCTTCGTTTCGAAAGTTGCTTGGACAATGGTTATTGACCTAGGAAAGATCAGTTGGGCCTCGTTATTTTTCCAAAAGCCCTGATGAGTTGATGAATAATGGGCTTAAGCATAAAGCTGCATGCGATCACACGAATTGTCCCGAGGACTTACGATGATCACGGAGATCCATTCTAGTAGGAAGCGAAAATCGCACAACAAACAATTCCAAAGTCTGCTTGCGGAACACTGAAAAGAATGCGGAAAGCGATTCACCTCAGCATAGCTAAACCTTACCGTTCCTCTTACTTTTAAACACACTGCGACAGGAAGGAACTATTCATCTGAGAAGCTAGGTATTGATTAAAGAACGAACTAGCGGAACTTCAATTTGAACTTGCACAGATGATCCGGAAAATCTTGATGTAACTATGAGACGTGGAATCAATACGATGCTGCTAAATGTGCGAATTTTATTGTCTTTGCAGTTGTAAGCAGGCTGCAAGTCTAGCATGAATATCCATCCATGGAATTGTCCATTGATCCACGCTGCAGAACGGAGATATTTTGGAATTGCTTTGTCATCGGCCTTGGACATCGATGCAGCTGTCAAGTGGGGCGGCTTATTGCTTCTGTGAGATGAGGCCTTCCTCATTGGCTGCAATGTTCGAAGGACGGTTGTCCGAGACGTTGGTCTCAGTCTCGGTGAAGTTAGGCCGCGCACCAGTGGTGTCGTTAATGACGTTCGTCGACAGAACGTATTCTTCCTTGTCAATGTGGCGGAAGTAGAAGAACTGGGAAACCAGGTCAGAAACATGTAGGAAGTGATAAGTTTAAGACCAGACTTACGAAGAACACGGTAACAAAGGCGCCGAGGACAGTAGGAGCTGCAAAATCCCAAATCAAGTGAGGGTCTGCAATAACCTCAGATGCTGCCAAGTTGACGATGAAGGCAAATCCAGTGTTGAGCAGATTGATGGCGGACACAAGGCCCCTCATGTTGACTGGGGCACGTGAGTACGCAATGCCATATGCAGGCACATTGATGAAAAGCTCGGAGAAACCTCCAAGGGCGTACGGGATAGCCTCCCACCAGAGAGAGATTGGCGACACTAGGCCGCCTTCAACACATTCCTTGGCCGAAGAGCCATAGTACCCGCAAGGGTTGGTTTCATATGCCTTCCAGCACAGAATGGTGTAGCCGAGCCCGGCCAGTGTCGAGATGAAGAAACCAGTCGTAATACGGGCCACAGGACCATAGTGGACCCCGGCCTTTCGCAGTGCTGGATAAAGAGCAAAGTTAAGGACAGGGTTCAAAAGAATGATGCTCAAAGGATTGAAGTTGCTGATAACGTCGTTTGGAACACCGTTGCCAGTAAGCATAGTACCAAGATAGTTAGCCGAGCTGCCGAGACCGTTATCGTTCCAGTACTGAACGGGGAAGAAACAGAACATTCCAGTCGCCTGCATAGTACGTTTAACATCCTCCACAAACTGGTCGTTCCAACGAGTCTCGACAGGAAGACCGTGTGTAACGTGGTACGAGGGCTTCGCAGGCTCATACCATCCGGGCTTGCCAATCCGCAAGATACCTCCCTTCCTCATGCAATAGCCTAGGACCCTGAAGACGTTGGGAAGATCAGAGCCACCAGGCGGGTGCATTACGAGCTTTGGCTTCAACCAGATCAGAAGGATAGGGAGCGGGAGGTATAGCAGGAGTGGAAGGAGAAAAGCTAACCACCAACCGACAAGACGCGCACAATACGAGGTTGCTGTGGCCATGAAGCCGCCGAGATTGATCAACAAGTAGAACCACAGCATCACTCGTTCGGTCGAATGCTCGGGGTCTTCAATGACACGCTCGCCCGTCGGCAGTGTCTTCACGACCGGGACATGTGACGACATCTGGTCGAGCAACAACGGGGTCACGTTCGGCTTGAACATCGCAGCTCCAAAAGCCAAAATGTAGACACCGATGAAAAAGGGAATCTTTGCCGTTCCATCTTCGAGCAGTTGTCGAGCACCGCCTACAAGAATGAGGACGTGGCCAACGCCACAAAGCATGATACCCCAGAAAATCATATTGTATCGTCCGAACCGGGTGTCTGCAAGGTAGCCGACAAATAAAGGGAGCACGTAGGCAAGCATGTTGAACGACTGGCTGGTCGCATTGGCAACCTTCTCACCCAAGCCCAAGGCACCCTGGGTTGCCTGACTGCCATATGGCGGCGAGCCAAGACCATTCCCACCGATCGGCAGCGGACGATTGATGTAGTTGGTCCAAATGGTAACACAACCTGTGGAGGATCTAGGTCAGCATGTGTCTTTTGCGCACAGGTCTCGCGTTTCTTTGCGTCAATACTGACCATAGTACGAGGCGCGTTCGCAAAACTCTACAGCGCACAGGCAGTAGGCCAGATAGGGCACCCTTCCGGGCACGCGGCGCAACGTCCGTAACTCTTCGTCTGTCGGTTTTCCCTCGTAATCTTTGTGCAAGATGGCAGTGTCTTTCAGCGCGACCTCCACAGCAGCGTCAACATGGTGTCCAACAACATTGCTGGGTTCGACATGGCCCGTCTTCTCGTCAATGCTGTCACCGTTGGTGTTGGCGTTGGCCGTAGCCGGTCGGTCGCCAATCTCCTTGTCGGCCGCTAAAATAGCCTGAACGTCAGTCTTCTGGGTGGTCCCATCCTTTGGCAAGCCGCAGTTCTTGAAATGCTTGTTTCAACGTCGAGGGGCACTAACACATCTTGGCTTCGCTGGGCGGCTTGGACTGATTCAGCTCGCAACCCGTGCGTGGGATAAGGCGATAAAGCAATAGGAATGGTGGCCAAGGGACCAAGAACTCTCTATATGGGGCGCCGCCTCCCTATCTATGCACGCCGCTGATAGCCAGCCTTATGGCAAAAATGCACGCGCCTCGGACGAATAACCTGGCTGCAGCATTCTGGAAAATGAAATGTTCCAAATTGCCCCAATGGTCGGTGGCTCTCCAGTTTCGGACGTCATGTCGGTTGGAAGCAATCAACTCGATTCGGAAGGTGACATGCGACCGAGGACCCTACTCGTCGGACGGGAGCCACCTGACCGGGGTATATCATTGGGCGGAACTCATCCCGTTATCAATAATGCTGATCTTCGGTGAGATTTCTAGAACGAAGAGGGAAGCTCGAGGTCGCATTGGTGAATGGGTCCGTGTGGTCAACCTGGGGGCCTGGCCAGCCCGTCATCTTCTCTCGTCCGTCTCGTATGTTATATCCGACATGGTACAGACGAAGGAGCTACAGTTCGAAACGAAACCAATCGGAAGACCCCAATTACCATCAGCTGTTGTATTAGGCAATCGATTCACCAAGGTATTGTGGGGATTCATGATTAGCATCCTCACTTCAGGCAGCTGAAGGATTCAGCGCACAGTCGGATCGAGATTGAACGCTATCCCTGATCCAATGTCACCCTGGCGGAAGCACTAGCACACGGCAGGACCCGAGAAATCCTGACTCGGTTTGCTCAGGCAACAGGGCACGATGTGATGGGTCTTATGTGATCTCTGGCCTGATACCATATGCCCGGCGGATGTCCCTGCATCTGGATTGTCGGGTGCCAAATGGTCGGGATCGTTCAAATACAAGTTAAGTCAGTGGGGGTGGTTAGGGATGGGCCTATACTAGTGTCAGGCCATGGCGTGCATTTGGATCATACTGCCCCCGCATGTGGTGAATACTATGTACAGTCGTGGCCTGGCACTGTATGCTCACAGACAGGACTGCCAGCAGCCATGCGCGGCAACGGGTAGAGACGGAAAACACAGCTTGGCATCAAGTTGACGAAAAGTGCCCGAGGACCATAACTTTAAAGCAGGAATTGGCGCGCAAGGAAAGTGACATCCCGGTCCCATCCCTGTTACCCCGTATTGGCGCCTTGGGCGCCGCCGCGATCCGTCGTAGCACCGCGGGGCCAAGCTCAAACCTGTCGATTTAGCAATCCACCTGGCTGTGCTTGGTTACTGTGTCCGGTGGCACTCGGCGTGTTGGTTGCCACGATTGCTTGGGGTATATGAGAGAAGGATGACACGACGGTTTCTCGGTCCGATTCCGTGGAACTGTGTAGGGAGCTTTCCCTGGCCAGTCTTCCGCGATTGGTCAAAGACCCTTAGTCCTAGAACTCACTCTCCAAAGGTCATGCGACTGCTCTTTATTCATGCTTCTTGTCATTTAGGTCACAAATTACCTGAAGCTGGGGTAGTGAGCAGCCCAATTGCCAGTCTAAACACACGACGTACTATGCTTACCGCAATGTCGCTGCACACGAGTCAAATGGTACCTGTCTTGGTGGATAGGACGCAATACCTTGAGGGGTTGTTAGACTTGCGGTACAATTTACTGCACTCCAATTCGAAGCTCGCATGTCCCAGACTCGAGGCGCGTTTGGAAAGCCGTGGCCAGAGTTATAATTATTGCTATTGAAATTGTCGAAACGTGTTTACATACCCTTAATCCTATATGCAGTAGTATTCGGCACTGTCTCATTCCTCCTTGGTAGAGGCCGGCGACCAAGTTATCCTGCGGTATGCCACTGACACTCGTTATTGAGAACCGGGACCTATCGATAAGATATAAAGCTAGGGTTCACTTCACATTGATGCTAGTACAAAAAGGTGGAATTGGAGCATTTGGCCGGAAGAATCCCAATGTACTTCACAACCAAAAGGTCTTTACGTAACACTAGGACTCAGTCCTCGGCGTGGCCTCAAGTACATCCGCTCCCCCGTTTTAACATCCTCGCTTAAACATAGACAAGTGCAACGCGATTTTCTGGATACCTTTTTCTATCATCGGAGCCCCTTTTTAAAAAAAAGGATATTAAATATCAGTCCCTGGTGGTTATATCATGTAAGGTATTCGTTATATGTCTAGGTTCCTCGATGAAATAAGCCACTTAACAATGTTGTCATAGTGGCATGATTTTATGTATATGAAGTTACTACTGGACCACTTCACTTAATAGAGAACGAAAGACTGTATTATCGTCGCCGGAGTGCACCAAAAACTTAATCTCATCTCAAGGGGGGCGGTCCAGACACGATCCAGTCAAGTCACTTCCGTATGATGATCGATCACCGCCGACAGTTCTGAAACTACTGACGACAGGTGTTATCAGAATTGTACCGCATATACTCGTAGTATACCATGTCCTAGCCCAATCGTAATTCCTATTGGCTCAGTGAACCTAACGCCACAGATACAATGACACTTCATTTTTGGTAAAGACACTAGGCGGGGGCATGTTGCTCTGAATGTGGCCATGGGAAGTTTGCCTGAGATGATACACTGTTTTCTTTTATTTATCGTCTCTGAATGATTTGAATAGTAATAGCACTCTCATTTCTGTGCACGGTCGTAGAAATTCACTTCTATGACAATGGATTCAAGTACCTACGTAGATGTAGATACTTAGACTGCTGATACGCCACGAAGTGGCTTAAGGCCCTGTGGCTGGCGACACAGTGCCCTGTTACACAGGCTGGGCCGACAAGCCATTAGTACTCAGCCTCATAAACGGAAAAGAAATTCTGTATTTATTATTATTTTACATTTCAAGATACCTCAGACGATATCAGCTACCGAAGTTCTGAACTGCTGGTGTACGACACATGCATGCATGACGTCCCATCATGACGACAGTACTTGAATGTTCGACCATGGGTTATATATCAGATAAACCATCTGCACCTTGACAGCCAATTTGTAAGAACGTCAGAAAACTAGAAGTAGTGAAACTGAGAAAGGGTTCACAAGAAATCTGGCCAAAATTACCACTCTGGCATTATAAAACATGGCCAGTATAATAGAAGAGCCTATGATACAGTGTGGTTGAATTGCCAAATTGGCATCGACAATTATTGAGGGAAACTGTATACGCCATGTATCATGATTGCATCCTTACCCACGACTTCGACGCTCTTTTGGTCTGAAATCCATTGACATGAGCTAACTCTCTACACGGGGTATATGGAGAAGATAATACTGCCGAAGCCAATGGACTTGTACGCTATCTTAAGCACTTGGAATATTGAGAAAATCTATGTATGACTATTAGGATGAGAGTACTAAGATATCATACGTAAAGCAATATCTGAAACAGCAATGCAAGGACAGGGTGGGAAATGTCTTAGAATACAACGGAAACATAGCAACATTGCTCGGGGTCAGAGTCCGAGGGCATGCTGGGTTCGTACAAGAGCAAGTTACCAAATGGCAGACACTCTGATACGAAGCCAAAATCGACCTCTAAGGTCATTCATCGCCATCGTGCTTTGTGACGATAGGATTAGTATTTATAATGTAATCAATGCATTCAATTAATATTAAGGTACGGACCACTTATCCTGCGCCCGGTGGCAGACCATAACCATGTTTTTTTATTCACATGTACATCCCAATTCTAATTAGCACCCCAACCTAATGGAGCGTGGATGCACAAAATTTGGAGAAATGGCGTTTGCAGCATGTGCCGTCACTTAGCCGCCGTTGCCACCATACCGCCCAGAGGCCAGATGTGCGGGGAAGTTTCATCAAAACCATCTGCCGTGACCAATAGGCAAATGTGATAGGGCAGGCCAAATGCATTAACCATACGGGGATTGCTGCTGATCCGGGGTGCATGTGCCAGGATGTGACCAAAGAGCTATAATATAATCCGAGGCTCGCATGGAAAGTAGCGACGTGGCCATCAACTTCCCAATACTTGTCCGAAGTCGACAAAGGGCAAAAGTGATATCTATTAGAAAACAAAGACAACCTGTTTATCAGCGTAAGGAAAGGCATTGGAGCCATGGCCCACGTTCCGCAAGGAGATGTAAAGCTGAAGGCGCACTGGCGAGCATTAGCTGCCGCAACGCTCGTGTCACTCAGTTCTTTCCAATATGGAATTGACTTTGGCATAATCAGTGGTCTGCAGGCTATGGATCCTTTCTTGGAGGTGAGGCACAGTGACTCGCTCTTATGGGACGCTCAAAACTAACATCTACGAGGTCTTTGGAGAGCTGGGCCCTGATGGGAAATGGAATATTTCGCCGGAGCGCCAGCAGCTCATATCTTCGCTGATGATTCTTGGAGCCTTCATTGCCTCCTTCTCGGCCGGTTTCACCTCGGAATATTTTGGGCGCAAGATGTCACTGTGGATTGCCTGCCTTGGGGTTGTGATTGCCACCGTGATGATGCAAGTCACCACAAGCATTGGTGTCCTGTATGCCGGCCGACTGATTATCGGTCTTGCCAATGGACTGCTCATGACACATTGTCAACTTTATATACAGGTAAGTGTCGGAGGTGCGGCTGGAGCGTTGTGCTAATGGGAGTCGTAGGAAACCCTTCCCGCCAAATATAGAGGCATGGGAATTGCGATGTTTTCGTACTGGATTTCCCTTGGTTAGTTCGCTGGTAGTACCATCATGCCACTCGCTAATTCGTCCTCAGGATCTCTCATAGGAACTATAATTGACTACCCCGCCTCGAAGGACCCGACTCGAAACGCGTACATCGTACCCTTGGGCATTGTGTACGTCGTGCCCGGTGTCATCTCCCTCGGACTTTTCTTTATACCCGAGTCGCCAAGATGGCTGGCCGGAAAAGGCCAAATATCGAAAGCCGAGAAGTCTCTGAAATGGCTACGCCCAAATACCTGGGCAGTTGCTGAGGAACTACAAGAGATGGAAGTTGCTTTGGCCGCGGAAGCTCAACTTCATTCAAAAACCAATTTCATTAGTTGTTTCAATGACCCGGTTGATCGACGGAGAACATTGCTTGCCGTGTTAGGACTAACGACGCAAGCTGGCTCGGGCTCCATGTTTGTAATATGTGAGCCATCCCTTTTTGTGGCTCTAGTCAACAATTTGCTGATGTTTTGCAGCGTATGGCACTTATTTCTTCAAGATGGCAAACGTAGGCGATGCTTTTCAGAACTCTTGCATCTTGACTGGAGTTGGTGTCTTTGCAATGCTTCTCAACACCTTCCTGGTTACACGAATCGGATATCGCCGGGTAATGATGATGACTGGTTTTGCTCTTTGTGGAATCGCAATGTTAGCCATAGCTGCTGTGTACACGGTTGAACCTGGGACTCAGAAGACTGGGAAGGCGATCGTTGGGTTATCCATCATCTATATTGTTGGGTATAACTGGATGATAGCTCCGTACGCCTGGCTATGCGGAGGAGAACTGCCCTCCCAGCGTCTGCGGTCCTACACTTTCGGCTTGGCCACGGCCATCGGTTTCCTTTTTGCGGTAAGTTTGAGAGACCGTTGATATACTGGCCGTGAATAGTGCTGATAGAGACCAGTGGCTAACAACTTTCACGGCACCATATTTTATTAACCCGCTTGCACTTAATTGGGGTCCGAAGTATGGGTATATCTGGGCTCCCTCATGCGTCATTTGTATGACGTGGATCTTCTTCTTCCTGCCCGAAGTCAAAGACCGGACTTTGGAAGAAATCGACGAGATGGTATGTCTACCTTTTCAGGAGTTGTAATCATCACTAACTGACTGGAATAGTTCGAGGCCCGTCTGCCGGCCAGAAAATTTCGCGGGTATAAGTGCACTGGTATGCATGCGGTACTCGAGGAGAAGACGCACGATATCAAACCACAGACAAGTCATGAAGAAGGCCATGTCAGCACACCAACTTCCAACGAGAATGGCGTTACTGAATCGCGTGTCTAAATTGGAAATGAAAGGAGAAGTTGGATATGTATTCGGACCATATATGCATGGAGAACACAGCGGCATTTACGAAGGCGGCGAGTACAGATAGAACGGCAAGCACGGGGAGAAGGGCGATTACAGCAAGCTTGCATGAACATGCTTTATAATCAGACAAAAATGTGCATTTCTCTTTAGCTAGTCGATAATCTAGGATGGTGGATCTATTGGACTGTGATCTCTTTCGCAGTACTGTCGTACAGTTCTTCAGCATGCTTCTCCGCATCGTGTTCGAATATCCAAGTCAGACGTGGAAACTGGATAATTTCAGGATTCTCCTTGACCTTGCTCCAATCTGTCTTGTGCCACATATCTCTAGTTGACTCACCGGTCTTCTGGGCTGCCTTAACTCGTTCGTATCTGATCTTTTCGTGAACCCTGACAGACAACGGAACATTATCTTTTCCTCCCCGCCGGAGGCAGGTCGCAATCGTGACGCCATCCTCAATGGCTTGAGCAGCACCTTGGGCGCTTGTAGGGAGGAAAGGATGAGCAGAGTCTCCAAGTAGGAGAATCCGTCCGCTGGGACTGACCCAGGTAGGCAAGGGGTCTCGGTACACCAGTTTCCAGTCAACAAGTCTATCCTCGGGCGTCTTGGATATAATCCGAGAACACATTGGATCCCAGTCTTTGACAGACTCAAGTACCTCGCTCAACTTGCCGGGAAAGCTCCACGACTCATCAATGTCGTGTTCGTCGGGATGGGTCAACACCCAGCAGCAGTCGGTCCCATTCTTAATGGTGCTGAAAAGGAAGTGCATGTCGGGACCAATCCACCCGTTGAAGGTGTCTCCATTATTGCAGAACTGGGCTGTTTCCGGATCAGAAATCATGTCCTTGTTCGAGAACCATGATCGCCAAACAGCGTAGCCGCTACTCTTGGGTCTATCCTCATAGCCCAAAACGGACTGACGCGCCTTCGACCGGACGCCATCTGCTGCGATCACTACGTCGGCTGCAATCTGGCACGCAGTTAGAATACTTCTTGGCGGGGTCTTCGTATCAATCTGACGTACTCTTTCTCCTGTCTCCAGCAAAATTCCAGACTTATCTTCATCCTCGAAGTATGTTCGGATCTTATTGCCAAGATGAATGGGGATGCAGAGCTGCTTTGTGGCATAATCATACACTACCCCGTGAAGCTCTCCCCGATGACCATTGAAGTTCGGAGCAGTTTCATCCAGTTCTGGGGTCTTCTGGTTTAAGACGATTTCTCCAGTATCATATTTGTGTATATTGAAGCCGTAGGCTCTGAGGTCGATACTGTACTTCCGCATCTCACGAGCGACCTCGCCATTGTTCCACCGGTGGAAGATCCGTCCTGCATTGGGGCCGAAAGTGATAATATCTCCCAGAGCTTTCAGCTCAGGGAATGCTTCGTATATCTCAACATCATGCCCGTTGCGGTGGCACTCTATCGCCGCACCGAGGCCCCCGAATCCTGCCTGGAATCAGCGCACCATGTCAAAGGGTAGGTCAACTTTGCTTTCGTACCTGCTCCCACCACTATTACTTTGATCCCAGTCTTGGGTCGCTCAGTTGAGCCGTTCACAATTCCGTTAGCAGCCATATCAGTGGCTGACCATCACCCGCAAAGTTGCACTTCAAGAATGAGCCAGTAATTTTGACATGCAGCCCCGGTGTCGAAATGTGCTGTGACGCGGGATTGTATCTCATACGGCGTCCAGAGCACCTCGGCAGATCTCTTCCGTTTAAACCAAGACACTTGTACCTCTTGGCGTTACTCCTTACCTTACCTGCTGGAGATTCTGCTTGGGGAGTATGCGGGGGTGGGGGCATCATGCGATCGCTGCGAGGTTGGTCAGCACCCCAAATGCCTTGCCGCTACCCCGACAAGTTCCAAGCGAGGTGCCATCCGACTGTGCTATTCAGAGCCCAACGCGTGAAGCCATCTAGGTGAGAGCTGGGTTACTCCGCACTTAGGCTAAGCTCTTCTCAGCGCCGTGCATCCCCCAGCTGACGGGGCTGGGGCATGAATTCCCGAGGTAGGCGGCAGTTACACAAACTACAACTCTGAAGGGCGTCGGGCGTAAAAAAACTCCCTCCCAGCATTGCATTGGATCAGCACTAAGTCAGCTCATCGCTCTGTATTGAAAAGACTTGTGCAGACGAACTTGAGAGCTTTGACCAGTTTTGCCGCGGTCCTATTCAACTGCCCCTCCACCAGAATGGCGTCCAATGAGAACTGGGGAGAGGCGACGTCTGGATTGGAAGTGGCCAGAGTCTTCTCTGATCAGATTCGAGGAAAGAATGGTAACCCAAATATCGAATCCCATGGCCCTACGTGGAACGCTAAGGGGTTCAAGTTGTGATTACCGGTGTTGCGCCGGATGGCATTGGAGAATCGACATCCATCGCCATCGCATCGCAGAAGCCATCAGTGTTGATCCTAGCATCACGAACCAAAGAGCGCATGACGGCTGTAGCTGAAAAGATTGAAGCCTCCTATCCTGGTGTCAAGGTGCGGGTAGTGGTTCTTGACCTTGCATCCCAAGCATCGATCCGCAATGCCGGCTTGGAAACGGCGGAATTGGTGCCAAAGGTGGATTTGCTCATCAACAATGCAGGGATATTCGTGATGCAGTCGAGACAGTTGACCAAGGAGGGTCTCGAGATTCAGTTTGGGGCAAATCATATCGGACACTTCCTGTTTACAAAGCTTTTATTGCCCCTTTTGAAGGCTGGGGCCAAAGATTCCGCACCCGGTGCCACTCGAATCATTAACTTGAGCAGTCAGGGTCATCGTCTCTCACCAATTCGGTTCAGTGATTACAACATGGAGGGCAAACAGGTGCCCGCGGAGGAAGCCCCAGCGTCTCCAATGCCCCCGGCGTTCGGGAGGAGGATGCCAGATGGATACTTGCCTGTCATAGCTTACGGACAGTGCAAAACTGCAAATGTTCTGTTCAGCCTCTCGCTCCAGCAACGATTGAAACCATTTGGCATAACCTCTTACGCTGTCCATCCAGGTGGTAAGTGAATTGAAATGAGGCAGAATAGGATATCCCACCGAATAAGAAGGCTCAAGCTAACTGAACCTCAAGGTATCCACACACAGCTTGGCCGGGACGAGGACGATGAACATAGAGCAGCCATAGCGAAGGGAATATCGTATTGGAAATCGCTCGACGAAGGATCATCAACAACACTGGTCGCGGCCTTGGACCCAAAGCTCAACGGCACGTATGCCGAGCTTCCTTTCGCACCCTGTGGCTGACGTGTTTGTAGATAATCCCGGCATCTTCCTGTCGGATTGCCAAATCAAAGCCCCCGCTGCGCATGCGGCTGACCCAGTCGCTGCGGACCGACTTTGGAAATTGAGCGAAGAACTCATAGGAGAGAAATTCAGTGCGCAGTGATAGACTTCAGGCCGAGCATCGGGCTGAGGAATGATGGATGCTGATTCGTCCATTGAGGGTGCGATCAGTGAACGACAACCGGGGCCTGCCTGGGGCTGTTGATTGTGCTGGTGGCCGCGTATGGTAGGACGGTCACGTCGACGTGGAGGGTGAGCATTGCGTCATTGATTTCTTGCGTTTTATTCCTTCTTCCATTCCAGATGCAGCCTTGTGTTCTCACGTTGTGTCCAGAGACAAAGCTGAGGTTGAGACGGCTGAGGATCGACGCTACACCTGGCCACTAGCAGACGTTGAAAAACGCACCACTGCAAGCCAATGCTAAATTAAGCAACACAACGCCTCGCTGTGAAAGCCATAACCGTGCAGGCAACGTCGATCAAATACCATTTTGCTTTGATTACGAAGATCATTATTGAGTCGGCTTGTTATTTATCCTCTCATTTTCTATGTCTCACGTAGATTTCCGCCAGGCTCACTGGCCGTGGTGTCAGCATTGGGGCACCCAGGCACAAATTTCCACGTCATTGGATCAGTCGGGTACCATTGAGGGCGCCGAAGATCCTTCACGACGCCATTGCCTCATCCTTTGGGGTCGGTGGATGCCACCGAAAGCAGCCTAGAGATGCTGCCAGCAAGTTTCTCAAAATGAGCAATGTCAGTTTCTTAAAGGGTTGCTGGTTTGTTGCGGATCTTTTAGGTGTCGTTTGGGCAATTTCACTCATTCACATTCCAGGACAACTTCGTTCATTATGAGATTCTACTTGTTGGCAGCAGCGCTCACAGCTGTAGCCAGCGCTAAATCAGTCACTATTCCTGCCGGCGACACTGAGTTGCCGTCGGGTTGGAGACATGAGAAACGTGCCAGTCCAACGGAGATAATTGATCTTTCAGTTGAGTTGAATCAGCCTCGACTAGCGCATCTGAAGACCCGACTCGCCGCCATCAGTGACCCGAGCCACGCGGAATATGGGAACCATTTGACAAAAGATGAGTTAGCAGCGTATCAAGCACCAGATGAGAATGCGGTGCGCTCGATTTCTTCGTGGCTAAGAGATAGCGGTATTCACGATGCGAGAGTTTCGGGAGCATCTATAAAATTTCGGTCAACCGTTGGGCTTGTCCGAGATCTCTTGAACGCTGACGTTGGGCATTATTCTTTCGGAAGATCCTCGATGCACCTACGCGCACGATCATACACTATTCCTGACCACCTAGCTGGGGACATTCGATTCATCCACCCCTTATCGCACTTTGTCAAGCCGGCGCGCTCTCATTCCAAAGCGGGACGAGAGAGTCGGTCGGTTTCTGGAAGTCTGCAACGCAGCGATGTGGTGCGCCGGGTTGCAAAATATCGGCCCTACAAGCTGGCTGGGCGCCAAGATCAGGGAAATCAGAATCAGCCTTGTCCTGACGGTGTCACGCCAGACTGTCTACGAAAACTATATGGCTTACCCAACTCAAACGACACCAGTTACAGCACCGGCCCCTCCCCAGTGCGCTTTGCGGTCGCCGGATTCCTGGAACAGTACATACACTACGATGATGTATCAACATTCATGAACAAGTATGCCCCTGGTATACAGACCAAAGGTTATAACTTCAGCCTGGCGCTGTTGGGTAATGCTACTAACCCGCAAAGTCCCAACGAAACAGCTGGCACGGAAGCTAGCCTAGACTTGGAATACGCAATGGCACTCGGTTATCCTACCAATATCACATACTGGGCCATGGGTGGCCGGGGTCCAGAGTTGGATTCTAATGGAACCCTTTTGCCCGTCGGGTCTCCGGAAAACCAAAACGAGCCTTTCTTAGACTTTTTGCAGTACTTCCTGGGCCTCCCTGACAACGAAGTACCGCATGTCATTAGTATCTCGTACGGCGATGATGAAACGGGTATTCCCTTTGAGTATGCCTCAAAAGTCTGCGATCTGTTTGCACAGCTAAGTGCTCGGGGTACGTCCGTCTTCGTGGCTTCTGGTGACGGTGGAGCCAGCGGGACGGGACACGGAGAGTGCTACAGCAGAGACGGGCAGCGTCGTAGGATGTTCATTCCAGTGTTCCCGGCCAGTTGCCCCTACGTAACGGCTGTGGGTGCAACAGGTTTTGCGGTTCCACTCGAAGCATCACTGATCAGTGGCGGAGGCTTCAGTAACTATTTTGCGGCTCCTGATTTCCAGAAAGGCGCTGCGGACGAGTATATCAAAGCCCTAGACAAGGCACAGTTGGGTTACTATAACTCGACCGGCCGTGCGATCCCTGATATCAGTGCACCGGGCGAGTTGTTCGTGGTACAAAACGGAGGGGAAGAGCAGTCTGTACGGGGGACAAGCGCCAGTACCCCTGTAATCGCGGCGCTGGTAGCACTGGTCAATGAAGAGAGGATCAAGATGGGAAAGAGTAGCACTGGATGGCTGAATCCGTTGTTGTATAAGCCTGAAGTACGCAAAACACTTTTGGATGTTTCTTTGGGGAGTAACTACCCATGCATATACGACAAGAATGATACAGTTCCTGGATTTGCCGCTTATGCAGGGTACGACTGTGTCACGGGTCTAGGAACTGTAGGACAGTTCAACGACTTCCTTAGGGCTTTAGTCTAGATGGTATAAGGTGGAGTTCTAGGAGTTTGGCGTTGCAGCAAAGCTAACAGCATGTTTTCCCCTCTTATCTTCGGTGTATTCGCCTGAAACCTTCTTTACGATAGTGTCGGTCCCTTTACCGAGACAAACTGATACAGCCAGTCGAACTGTCTTCTTCGAAGATACCACCATATATGATACCTTCATTAATCCCGGCCTCCTGTTCACCATTATGAACAATATCATCTCCCCCGTTGAGACCTTTCTTCAACAAGCCGAAATGGAATTGACCCTGGCCGCTGACATCATTCGCAAGTGCATCGGTTTGCGCAACAAGTGCTTGGCATCCTTGAGAGTAGAATACTTGGGTTGTACTAACCACATATTTTTGTTAGTGCCAGTTTCATTTGTAATCATCACATCCACATACAGAGAACCAAAATCGAGCGTCACTGCAAAGTTGTGGAACACGCCCGCCGTGAAGGGTGTACTGAACAAAGTTTGAACCGGGTTCGAGTTGACGTTTCCAAAAAGCTGGAGAGTGTCGGGATCCGGTGTATTTTGGCCGAGAATAGTACCCGTCTTCAACACAACCTGATTGGTACTGAAATCGCTGCTCTCTAGGAAGACCAGTTGGTACTCGTGAGTCAGGTTCAGGGGACGGTTAGAGTCCTTCTTCAAGCTGAAGTGCAAAGTCTTCACGCCAGTGGTGGACGCGTCCGTGCCATTGTTACTTGCTATCAGTAGCTCTGCACGACGGAAACCATTCTGAATGTTGGTCGCACTTGGTGCAAATATAGACTCGTCACTGTAGGATCATTTAGCGAAACGGATGCATCCTTGTCGACACTAGGACGTCCTCACTTAATAGTAACCTCAACCGGCACCGTCCTGTCATCAAACTAAAGGCGTTCAATCAGTTGAATATTACCGCTAAGCATATAATGTTGGCCTACCAGTGACGAAAGGTTGCTCTGTAGTTGAACAACCTGGCTGAGAGTCAAATCTAGGACGGCTTAGCGCTGGAAACTTCATTGTACATGCCAAGGCAATTGCACATACTCTGCCCGAAAACATTATCCGGGTTGAAGACGTTATTGGCCTTGTCAAATGTTGCGGCAACGAAGTTCGATGGTACCCGACCATCGAATTGCAGATCGCACTGTTGCGACGCAACAAGCAGCGGCAAGGCAGAGCACAGAAAAACGAGGGAAAGACGGCCTGCCATTTTCAGACTAGATGGGAATGAGTGAATATGAAAAAGAATGACAAAGAAATGAGAAACAAAATGTAACAACGACAAGATTCATATCCCTCCAAGTAATGGACGGGGATTGGCACGTTATATGGTCAAATGGCAAATCGTCTGGTCCCAATTTCAGTTTACCGCGTGCGAGCTTGGCAGGAGAAAGTTCTAACATCGGACGAAAGTCAAAAATGTGGTTTTACAGGCTCTGCGGCATGGGCCTGGGTAACCAGTCCGGCTTAGCTGAGAATATTCTGGCGGGAAGGCATGAAGCCCCTGGGTTTCGGCAACAGCCGACACGGTGGGGCGGCAGGGGAGATCATACACCAGCGTCTCAGCATTTTGGCTTCCACCACTGAACCGTTACAGCGCAACCTTAGGGCCGAAGTCTAAATAATTCATTTCCGCAGCTTCAACAGCAAACTCTCGGGCACTCGGGCGTCTTCGGCCACCGCATACCTAAGATGATACAAACTTAGGAGTACGCCTGACATTATAGTTTGTCTCGCAGAGCTTTTTAGAAACGCATCATGAGTCTGAAATTCTTCAATGATTCTACAGCATACGATGACACTCTTTCTTCTAGCCAGCTTCACAAGAGGCAATTGACGCTATGTTGCATGGGGATGCTGTATAAGTGGGGGAGTGGGAGCGTCCTTGGCTCGGTACATTGGTCCACAGTCTTAGACAATGCGCTGACTGATATCTGAAAAACCTAGCTTCCAGCTAGGTCTCCTCTCCGTATTAAGAATCTCTATAAGACCGTATTCTCGCGGCCGAATCGTCCACAGAATATTGTTGGTCACGAAACACAGAACGGCATATTGGATGGAAGAGGTGCATCAAGAGAGTTACCGGCCGATTATGCAGACGAAAGGGGGATGTCCATCTGTCTGGAATAATAACACGAATATCCTGCGCTGCTTGTGTAAGGAGAAGACTTTTTACAATCATGGTCCCATTGTTTCGGAAACGCATCGAAAAGTCATAGTCCTATTCTGGATGATGCACCCTGCTGTGGTTTCACAGCTCATTGGTGGCTGCCAGTAGATACTGTTGTCACGAATTCCAGAGCATCGGACATTCTTAGAATGATATCCTGTAAATTGTTCCAAAATCTTGAATATGGTAGAGACTATTTTGGCATCAATAGCACAGTGCCTCTAACCTGATCTTGGGGGTGGAATGGGTCATGAGCCCAACAACGCCCAAAATGGGGTCCAAGGAACTTCGTGATATTGTAAGTCATGTGAAAATGATAAATGGAATTCCCCCCCCTCGAATGTGACTTGGAAACAATCAATAAAATGCCGAATCGAAATAAAGACAGCACGAGTCGTATGGTGCTACCCTTGTTGATGCCTCCAGTTTCATAACATATCGATGCAGTAAGAAACGCTTAATCATCCAACGTGAACTCCAACGAATTTCGGATATGACCATCCTTGACCTTGGTTTCCTTAATCTTACCAGTGTCGTAATCATCGTGGTAGGGTCCAGAAATCTTGCCAAAAGTTGTGTCGCAAAGGCTCTTGAAGACTTCCTTCTTGTTATCGTCAGGTTTCTTCACAGTAAGTCATCGCTATTGCTCTTCTCCAGCTTCTTGTACGCATACTCAATGGCTGATTTGGTTCCTGCTTCCGAACTGACTTTAAAACGCACCTTCTTGAGGGCTTTGATCTTTTTACCATCCTTTTTTGTAAATAGATACATCGCAATATGTATTAAATAGATAGGTCAAAGGATTCCGCACATAGCCGTTTCATTTGAGTGACGGCCTTGTACGCAGGACTAAGCTGGCTGTGAAGAGAAGGCAGGAATGTCCTGGGCTGGAAATTCTTGCAAGCGTGAAGCTACCCGTTTAGAGATGGACGCTTTTTCACTCAGAAGATGCCTTCAAGCAAGCTGCAGATCAAGTATAATCCACGAGTAATCTGTTAGCAATAATCCATTCCGACAGCAGTATTGGACCAATAGTAGGTCAGCATACGCAGTGTATCACATACTTGGCCCCAGTGATCTCAACCAGTTGCGCAGTACTCCGAGGATGCACTTGGTTGATCATGGGCTTTCTATAATTAGCGTCCAGTTGCCCCTACCTATGTGCGCGCCATCGTGCAAGCCATTTCTTGATCCCGGGACAGTGTTACCTCACTTCAAAAGCACATGCCCGTGGCGTGGACTTCTTTCAATGCTATTTACAGGTTACCGTAACCAAACATGCGCCTCCAAAATCATCCATGCATTAGATTGACTAATTGCTGTAGCCGGCCCAATTGAAGGCGATGTTGAAACTATCCCCGCTTGGGGACTGGGAGCTGAGCAGAGAGCCAAAATTGATTATATGATCGATCTACCTAACATTGATCCTTTGGTGAGGCTTGGACCCGTATTTTTGCTTCCAGGCGCAATGCAAAGTCGCGACAAGTGGCTTAGCATGCCTATAAATTTCTTCCGAACCCTCCGGGCCCGAGTATCTGAACTTGCATTATTTTAGGAATGTCGATCGCTGTGTTTTTTCTTCCCGAGTGGGGAGAGGGAGGGGAAAATTACGTCACAAGGCAACAGGCAGTGAGTTCACATTATTCCTCACCACAGGTTTGACGATTGTTCAATTGAAGTTCTTCCCAAGTTTGCAAACGCCACCGAATTTTTTGAAACCGCACCAAAGGCATTTTTTGCATTCTGACAACCCGTGCAAGCAACGCAGAATACACTTACTTGGTCTTCCTGCCGACCTTTTTCACAATGTCCTCCTTCACTCTTTGCTCGCTAGGGGGACCACAAGGGCGCTGAGATTGAAGCTGGTTTGTAGTAGGTTGATACAAAGCTCTACCCAGACTAGGACTTGCTAACGTGGTTCAGAACAAGTCTATAATTACCTGCACCTTCATTGCCGAGATACTGCAGAGACGGCGTATAGGACTAACGTATTAACCATAATCGGGGGGTCAGATCACTGCATTAGTTGTCTTACCTAGAGGGACAACCTACGAAACGCCACAAATCCGAACTCAACACCTGGGTCCGAATCCGATACTAAAAACATCCATTATTATTTATCATTACATATACATAGATGTATGTAACATACTACGATCAATCAGGATCATCAGATGAATTCTGACGTGGAGCATCGCTTTAGCGTGTGATTATTTTGAATGCATGCATCCTACAATCACAGAGTATCACCAAAGCGAATGGACTCCAATATGTAACTCATACCCATTCTCTTATAATATATCGCTTTTACCACATGGGCGAAATCGTGTTTACTTACCGCCTTTTAAGACCTGAATTCCGCTGTCTCGGCGAGATGGTGGGTCTCCTTCAACAACGGAGCAGGCCAAACGGGTAGAGTGGGTGCCCCGTAGGCTAGCTAGACTATGTAGATAAAGCCCCCCCTGGCAATCCGCTTGTGCAGCACGGCGTAGAGTACGGTCTGAGTGAAGATCAACAGAATGACCTCGGCCTGGCCTCGGAAGGCAGCGTTTTATTGGTCATATTTAAGGAGTGTGCGTCGAAGCATTGGGGAAGGAGGCAAGGAGTACCCTGTAACGTTGCAGTATTCGGTCCATCAGTGGACCATTAAAAGTTACATATGTTGTCAGCTTACATCTCAGAGCCTTACAAGTGGATACCAGTCGAGGAATGCATCGCAGATGTCGAACCACTGTGCCGGAAGCCCCAGTGCGGGTTGAGTGCTCCGCACCACAACATCATCCAGGATAAAAAGGCTTGCACTCTCAACGTACAAAATTTGAGGGCTCTCAGCTCTGCGTCCGTACATCCCACCGACTTCTTTGGCTGAACCGACCATATGACATGGCAGAACTCGTACCCAACAAGACGTGGGTCTTCAAGGAGATTCCCACTGAGCTTCCTCAACTGGGTGTCCACACTGCCATCGAGGATAGGCCTCTGAGCCTGGTGCCCCCTCCCGGTGGTGTAACTGTGAAGCTACTTGAGGTTGGGTTCGATCCCCACCAGCGGGATCGCATGCGAGGACCAACATTCCAGAGCTACGTACCCGGATACGAATTAGACCAGCCCATTACCAATTTCGCCGTCGCTAAGGTCGTCCGCTCAGAAAATGAAGGATTCAAGGAAGGGGAATTGATGCAAGGCATGATGCCAATTGCGGAGTATGGCATTATTCCAAAGGAGCTGATCGAGGCCAGACCAATGGCTGCGCCTCTCGTCTGGAAGGTCGAGAACAAGTACAACATCGATCTTAACCACTACCTCGGACCTCTGGGGCTCGCTGGTATGACTGCGTGGAACTCATTCTATGGCCTGGTAAAACCAGAGAAAGGTCAAACGATTTGGGTCAACGCCGCTTCTAGCTCCGTGGGAGAGATCGTTGTTCAACTTGCCAAGAAGGAAGGCATGAAAGTCATTGCCAGTGTGAGCTCCGACGACAAGTTGAAATATGTCACCGAGGAGCTGGGGGCAGATGCGGGATTCAATTATCGTAACGAAAAGATTTCCGAAGCGCTAAAGAGATTCGCACCTGATGGTTTGGATGTCGTTTACGAGAATGTGGGCGGAGATCACTTCCAAGCCGCCATCGAGAACATGAAATGGTTTGGACGCATTATTGTTTGTGGCATGGCAAGTCTTCCCTCCTAACAATAATATCCGTACTAAGTGCGGCTAACATTATAAAGGCATCTCAATACAACAAGTCGATAGAGGAGCAGTATGGTGTCACTAACCTGTCTGAGATCTTCCGACGTCGTATTTTGATCCAAGGATTCATCTACTGGGATCACAATATTTACCCTCAGAACATCGACAGCTTCAGAGAGAATATGCCCAAGTGGATCTCTGATGGGTCAGTCAAATCCAGGTACACGAGATTCGAGGGTCTCGACAATTCTAATGACGCTTTCCTGTCTATGTTCACTGGCAAGGCATTTGGCAAGGCGGTGCTCAAAATTGCCGACAACTAAGTAGGCCTTCTTAATACAAGTCACTACAAATTGGCACTCAGCTGATGTCATGATGAAAAATCCACGGCACTTGAACAAAAGGTTATCTTTACCACATATGGCGCATCGTTTCCACTTGGGTACACGACCAAGAAGCGAAAGAAGGCTTTGCCGAATCCGATACATAATGACCCATCCACATGTCCATGTTATGATAGAAATATCCTCCCAAGGTTTTCCCCGAACTTCATAATGCAATGGACACCAGGACGAACGATGCAGTCTTATTCACTGCCGAGTTGTAGTCAGTGAAAATGAATTCAAAGAGACCATAGCGCGAGGATTATACCGGTTGGTTTTACTTTGATGGTAAAAAAAAAAATTCAGCTGAAAGCGCGGGATTTTTGATTTACGAAAACAGTGGTCATGTGTTTGTTGGTTTGCAATATAGAGCAAAAAGATGACCCGAGTAAAAATGTCCTCGGCGAGGTTCGAACTCGCGGCCTTCAGATATCTTGAAGTTATCAAGTCATACATATGAGAAGTATGAGACTGACGCTCTAACCAACTGAGCCACGAAGACTATTTCGTGATGATTCGCTGGGGCTTATTTGATGCTAGTAAAGTAGCGTAGGTACTACGCTTGGCAAACCTACCACAACGTCCAGGGTTCAAAGTGGAGCTATGCCCCCCTACGCCGATGAGGGGTTCACTAAGTCGTGCACACAAGGATGACGGCACAGTGATGACTTACCTCTACTGTTAGGTTGCATACCCAGTCAGTGCGTTTCTGGATAAAATTATTAGTATGGTAAAGAACTCAACGGTCCTCTATCCAGAATGTTGTTAGATGCATTCAATGCGGCATGGGAATGAAGTAGCGCGATGACAAGCGCGCAAAAAGGTTTATTATTTGAATAGCGGTGTTACGTTCCATTGCACTACATATCAAATGTGATTTGATTATACCGCCAGACTAGCATCTGTTCCACATGCTCAACACCGCCCTCAGACACATGTGTCCCTCCTCTTGTTGCAAGAATTGATCCAGAGGCTTCAGGGACAACAGCTCAACAAGCAATTCCGGAGATTATATAGATTTTCGTTCTGTTTCAAATGAGAATGGTTGACAATCCGCCTATAGCAAATGTGTATCCAACTTCGAAAGGCCAATCCAGCAACTAAACACTTGGTGATCCTTGGTATGACTATATGCATCCTTCCACCCGTGGGTCTACAAGCAAGCAAGGTAACCTTAGTAACGAAGAGAGTGACCAGGAGTAGGGCGCCTTTCGTCAAATGCAGGTGTTCTGCTAAGCGTTCCTGGACTATGCTATCGTTGGTGATGGTTCCTAGGTTATTTCGGCTGTTGATATCGGCAATTCAACAATTCTCGATTTCACTACACCTTCTTGGGCCGTTCCGTATACAAATTTACAAATACGACATGACACGCTCCGAAATGCCCCAGGACAGGTACGTTAATATATCTTTAGTTCGGCCTGTGGTTATGATTGGTCAATTCGGGGCAGAGGCTGTCACATTTACCCGCTCGGAGGGTTTCCACCATTGCCGGATCAGCCGCTTCATGTCCGGGTGCCTGGCCGTATCTGCAGGCTGTGTCTTGGCAAAATTCATGGTTACTTCTTCGGAGGCAAACTTATCTCCTAAGCCAGTATAAATAACAATATCTGTAGGCTGAGACAAAAGCCTTCTTGATGCATTGTGATGTACCATAGATATCCCCTTTTCCAGTGCAGTCAACGCTTACGACAACTTGACGATGGTTGCTTTCAAGGCAGTCCTCCTCATTGCCGCTGCGCTCGGTGTTTCGGCGCAAAACACAACTTTGCGCTACATGCCATTTGGAGATTCAATCACTGAGATTGTTTGTTGGCGAGCAAAGCTATGGGAGAAGTTGCAGTCGACTGAATGGGCGGGCGTGAACTGGGTGGGTTCTGGCAAGACGGAAAACAACTGCAAAGACACCAAATACGACCGCGACAATGAGGGTCATTCTGGGTTCCTCGCCATTAACATCGCGAACAATAAGCAGTTAGTCGGGTGGCTAAAAAATAATCCGGCGGATGTCATCACCATGCACCTTGGCACAAATGATATCGTGCAGCAGGGGAAATCTGTTACTGATATTATTGCTGCTTTCTCCACTCTAGTACAGGTTATGAGAGACAGCAACCCTAAAATGAAGATCATAGTAAGTATCCCTGAACCTGGGTGGCCCTTGATGTTAGCTCAGACCACTGACTCGAAAAGGTTGCCCAAATTATCCCCATGGGTCTTGGCAGCTTCAACACTCAAATTCAGAATCTGAACAAAGCGATTATACCTTGGGCACAGGAGAAGAACTCAACAGATTCACCCATCTGGGTCGTCGACCAGTACACCGGCTTCAGTGGCAGCAGCGACCTGCGAGATGGTGTTCACCCGAATGATTCCGGTGACACCAAGATGGCCAACGTTTGGTACCCTGCCTTAGTCCACGCATTTGAGGTTGCCAAGGCGGGCAAGGCGGCAGTTCGCGATGTGGAGGTTCCTTTCACTGCTTAAAAAATGATGCTCTGACTGTGAATCTGAGTCTAGTAAAACAATAAAAGCTAGCTACTCTTTGATACCGGTTAAATCCATCGGTTAACGTGATCACAAACTTCTATTCTCAATAAAGGTGCTAAAGTATTGCAATTCCCAGTGTCATCTCAATAAGTGCACTCGAGATCTTGACGCAGAGCAATCGTTGATGTGAACTCCGTGTCTCCCCCAGACCAAACTCAACCGGCCTACGCCGATAGTCGGGTGGTTGTCATCCATACTTCTGGTTTGCTTCTCAGGAGACTCAGAAAGTGAATATCACAATTTAACGCGTTCTTGTGAGGCCCCTAAGTTTACATGACCAGTCGAAATAGTACTATTCAGTTGATCGCATGTTCTTGTAACTGTCTTGAGTTTTTTTCTTTTTTTTTTCTTCTTTCTTTTTTTTTTCAGCAAATAAGTCTCTGATGGGTACATGACGTGAAACTCTAGACGACTTCATTCTGTGTCAAACCAGATACCAGGATGAATTAATACTCGTTCTAATACATGCCGAAGATAGAGGCCTGTTAATTGTACAAGAATGAAGAGGTGACTTATCTGTGGTGTGCTGTAATGTGAAGGAGTTGACTTCCTCTAGCTTCAACCCGTGTAGGATAAGCTGGCTGTCAATCACGACAATGCCAAATGTTTCTTGAAATACGTCTTTGAGCCGAGTCATGGCTAACGAAACTAGTTGAAACGAAAGAAGCTGAGGCTGCGCATCACTTTCTGTGTTCGTGGCGAGAAATGACGGTAAAAGCCACAGTTTTACGGTCCGCTGGGGTTGCCGAATCAACTGCTCTGCCGTATGCCTCTCATGGAGGTTTTGCTTCGTCATAATACCTTAAAAATTACCTATACATAATCAGGTTCTCGACTTGCCCACTTTCTGCTGAGCGATATATGGAGGCAAAAATCATTCCTCTACGACATCTGAATGCATTGGAAGTGCCCACTAGCCTTGAGGGGAAATGCCAGGTAGACCGTTTCTGATGGAATTGTACTATTCAACGCTCCAAAAATACCGGCCGGCCGATGACGAAAAAGGAAAAAAGTTGACGGAAGTCACAAACATCACACAATCGCATTTGATGTGCAATCGTCATCAACAAGTGGCTCCTCGCCTCTATTCGCCCTCCAACGATTTGTCGCCTCCAACGCCCCCGGCGACCCTTTAACCAACCAGCCCCATTTCCTCAAAAATCCTTCCGACATCTCCCATCCCGAAATATCCCAAGGCGGCGACCACGCAATGAATCCACGACGCTGGATCTCCCCATCAGGAAAGCCCTCATACAGGCCGCCGATGCAGTCGGCCCACAGCTCATCCTCGTCGAAGGTGCCGGCGGCCCGGATTAAGCGGTCTCGTCCCTCAGGACACGGGAACATATCGATCCAGTCGCCGTGCGGGACAGTCTGTTGTAAGGTAGTGGGCAAGAGTGTTGACGGGAGTAGTTCTGGCTTGGCAGGGTAGGGGATGACGTGAATCACTTCTTGACCGCAGTCGAGCGGCGTGAAGAGGATGCCCGAGATTAGAGTGCGGTTGACGGCCAGGGCGCGGAGGGTGTTGTATTGGAGGAGTGTGATAAGGTGGTCTGGAGATAGAGGAAAGACAAGTTTGAACTGCCCCTTTCTAGGTTTATCTGGCAGCAAGGGTTTTCTCGCATTGTATAGATGCTTGACACGGGATGCTGGAACTATGGAGATCGATTCCTCCTTGATATCCCAGCAGTTCACCCGTGCTTCGGATTTGATCAGTGACCCGGTTGTGGGACTGGATGCTTCGGTCATCTTTGCGAGAGCTTTACGTTTCCCTGTTGGACGGTTACTTTCGATCATTGAGTATTCCTTGACCGGACCGATCCTGGTTCCTAACTTGGACGCAAGATAGTACAAGGCCTTACTTACGATATGCCCTTGTGTTGAGTCTAGTCTGTGCCCGTCGGCGCGCTGCGCCATCCTTTGTCCCAGTCCAGTCATCTTCCCTGCTGATCGCCTGTGCGCGATAAGTAAGTTAAGTCGTTTTCCTGATTGAACGGGGCCTGGTACGTACCTCGGCCAATTGTGGCATCAAAGCGAGTTCGATGCATGGTGCTGTTGAGTTTGCTGGTTGATACGCAACAACCATGGTGCTAGCCGTCGTTCGAATCGCGGTGATGGTCAGATTGGTAATGAGGAGGCAAGATGATTCGGGTCGGACAAGGCGGTTTATGCAGCCTGCTCACAATGACTGCTCGCTAGGATCCCAGAGCTGAGGCGCAGCCAGACAAGGGTCAGTGAGACGGTAAAGTATCCGAGGTCGCTATTACCAGTGTTTAACTTGAGTAGGTCTAGCGTCATGCAGGCTGCTCACATTTCGGACCAGCATCACGACCTCCAGCATCACACATGTACCACTTGGTCGATTGAATGCGGACTAATTGGTCCAAGGGTCATGCAGCCTGCTCACGATGTCTGATGCTCAGAACAACATCCAAGATGCAAGTACCTCGGGCATTTTCAAGAAGAGCAATATAAAAGCCGTAGCAACTCCTGGTTTTCGACGCATCTGTTCATATCATCTAGAACATAACACTCAGTCCACAGCATTGACTCATAAGTCTCTGGATATTGCACCTCAACATATTTTACCTAAGTACTCAGTCTCAACATGACTTTCCATCCGGATACTCTCCCCGATCTCAAGGGCAAAGTTTTCATAGTCACAGGTGGGAATTCCGGCATGTAAGCCTCCTCTCTCCCCTGTCCTCTCTCCCCTCTCAGCCCGAAAGGAGATCGCTAATTTCACCAAACCACAGAGGCTACTGCACCGTAGTCCGACTAGCAGAACATGGCGCTCATGTTTACATGTGCGCCAGATCTGCAGAGAAGGGGATATCAGCTATCACCAACATCAAGAAATTGAATCCTTCAGCCAATATCGACCTCCTACAGATGGACCTCATGGACCTTGCCAGCGTCGTCGCAGCCGCCAAGCATTTCCTCACCCTCGAAACAGCCCTTCACGGCCTAATCAACAACGCAGGCATCATGGCGACGCCCTTTGAAATGACCAGGGATGGGCACGAGGCCCAGTGGCAGACGAACTACCTTGCACACTGGATTCTGTCGGAGCACCTGCTTCCTCTGATGCTGCGGACCGCCAAAACACTTCCTCCCGGCAGTGTGCGCATCGTTAACCTTACTTCATCGGGTCACTTGGCGGCACCCAGGGGCGGCATCAATTTCAAGGATCTATCGCTCAAAGATGGTGGCCCGTGGACGCGTTACGGACAGAGCAAGCTCGCCAACATTCTGCACACCAAGAACCTGCACGCGACGTACGGCCCTGGCTCTCCCAGTGCGCGGAACGGAGAGGGCGAAATCTGGGTTTCTTCCGTGCATCCAGGTGTAGTTGAGACGAATATCGCCACGTCGGTGGAGGGGTCGGGGTCGGGCATGATGAGTGTTTTCTCGGTCATGCGCATGTTTGGATTAATATGGCCCGCCGATAAGGGGTCGCGGACCAGTGTGTTTTGTGCAGCGAGTCGGGATATGAAGGCGGAACAGAGCGGCACCTATCTCGAAATTTTCCAGCGATTTGGGGAGCCGTGGTGGCAGAGCGGTGCGGCGAAGGATGGGAAGCTTGCAGAACGGTTGGAGGAGTGGACTGGGAAGGAGATGAGAAAGGAAGGATGGGTTCGGTAATGGAGTCAATTGGTTTCGGAGTCTTGTTCGATTATAGTTCTAGAGTTTTTCTCGTTCTTATACTGCTACAGGTCCTTGCTTTTCTTCGCCACTTAGAATGTTAAGTGGTCTATGTTTTTTCACATTCGAGAAAACTAGAAACACTCACCCCATGACAGAGACAACATCAATGCCATTGACACAGTAGATGCAGCTCCTGTCTCCAGCGCACCAAACCATGGTCGGAATAGAGAGTTCGGACGGGTGTACTCACTGATTTGTACCAATTGTTCGAGCCCCATCTCAATAGACTAGAAGTTGCTATCGCGAGGTCTATATGCACAAGGAGCGCAACATCACCTATATACCTATGCATACAGTGAAGAAAGCCCTATCGCGCCAATTGTGCTTCGAAGAGTTTATCTATCAGTCCTCAGCACCTCGAAAACAGTATGTGGAACACTAACACGGATCTAGCCTACATGCTGAGATGGGACGGGGCTAGCGCAACGGACGAGCCACAGGAAACCGGCGGCGACGTGTTTGTCTGCGGGTCACTGACTCCCGTGTAGCAAGCGTCCCCGCATCTCTACCCCGGAGCTGACCGCTGACTCCATGTGCAATTGTATAAGTTGAGCGGCCTGCGAAAGCGAGCCAGTAGTTAGTCCGCTGTGACTTGGATATGCAGACCAAAGGGGCTCACCAATCGCAACATATGCTGTTTGTCCTAACTCTACGATTAGCTCCCCTCATCTCTTGAATCCTTCAGCGGTCGACAACCTCTCATCATGGCGACCCCGTCCAAGGCCATTGTCTCGCGCGGCCCCTTCTCCGAGGGCAAATGGGCCATTGAGCCCGTGACACTGCGAGAACTGAAGGAGGATGAGGTACTCGTTGAGATCATAGCCTCGGGCATATGCCATACGGACCTGCACTGCGGTAACACACCAGATGACAAGGGCGTTCCCGCCGTCTTCTACCCGCGAGTCTTGGGACATGAAGGTATGTGCGCCCTGGCTATTCTAGAATCTAGCAGTACAAAAAGTATGGCGCTAACAATTCTCCTAGGGTCCGGGTACGTCAAAGCCGCAGGCAGCGCTGTTACTTCAGTCCAGGAAGGCGACGCCGTGCTGCTGTCGTTCTCATACTGCGGGGAGTGCCACGTGTGCCAGACAGGACCTCCCTCGCACTGCACCAAGTTCTTTGAGATCAACTTTATGGGAGAGCCTGTCTTTTCACCGGCCTCTGGCGCATCAGAGTCCACGCCAACAATAGGCGGCCGTTTCTTCGGCCAGTCCTCCTTTGGAGGCCACACCATCGTCTCCTCCAAGTGCGTCGTCAACGTCAGCTCACTAGCCCTGTCCAGGGAGGAGCTGCGGCTGCTGGCACCATTGGGGTGCGGCCTGCAGACCGGCGCCGGGACTGTCATCAACGTCGCCAAGGCTGGGCCCGAGGATAGCATCGCCATCATCGGACTGGGCGGGGTAGGACTCGCGGCCGTTATGGCAGCCAAGAACGCTGGGTGCAAGCGCATTATCGGGCTCGACCGTCTGAGTTCACGACTAGAGACAGCGCGGGAACTCGGAGCCACGGATGTGGTGGACACGAGCGATAAATCAACTGAGGAGTTGGTCTCAGCAGTCAAGGAGGCATCTGATGGAGGTCTTGGCGCTACCATTGTGATTGACACATCAGCTCACCCTCCGCTGGTATCTGCAGCAGTGCAATTCACTCGATATCTGGCACAGATCATCCAAGTCGGTACAGGGATGCCAGAGGCATATCTGAACCTGCACATGCAAAGCTTCATGGTTAGTGGCAAGAAATATTACGGCGCCGTGCAGGGTCACAGCAGGACTTCTCAGTATATTCCGGAGCTGATCAGATGGTGGCGGGAGGGGAAATTTCCCGTAGAGAAGTTGGTAAAATTCTTTGACTTTGAAGATTTCGCGGGCGCTATCAGAGGGATGGGCGACGGGTCGGTCGTCAAGCCGGTGCTTGTGTGGCGCTGAGCAGCAGTCCAACACTATGCTTCATCTTCAATCGGCGCTATGGCTGGAAACTACACGGCAGTAGGAACAATTTGGGGGTGCAAGACGCGAAGGAAACATGGGTCACAGCTAGAGCACGATGTCAAGGTTGCTTTCTGGTAGAAACATCTAAACTGTATTCTATTAACAGCCTCTGGTCTATCAATGGTATCCTCGCGGTCAAAGACATGAGCTGTCATCGTCTGGGTCTCCAGTCCAGACACGCAGCCTGTCCAACTTTGGCCCGTATTGAGGATGCGCCGGCCGTGGTTGCTATTCAACCTTTGGCGCTCAAAAACAGAAATGCCCGAACCATGCAACCCGAACTTTTCTTCTGATCAGGGAAACAACAAAGGGAAAGGGTGACCGGGTTCATAAGGAATTAGTCGTACGTGAGTCGTAAATGTGCACATGGGGAAGAAGAGGTATGTGTTTAGATGTCATCCTCGTCAGAGAAGACCTCCTCACCACGCTTGCGGCGTGCCATACGCTCCTTCTTCTTCTTACGGGCCTCCGACGAAGTAAGCTTAGCCTTCTTCTTGGTGGTGACGATCTTGTTGCCCATGGCATCGAACTTCTCCTCCTCGTCATCATCCTTCTTGTCCAATCTAGGACCGGCACCCTGGCCTTGCACCCAGTTGTGCCCGGAAGGAGTCATCTTACCGTCCATGACGGCCCAGACTTCCTCAGTCAAGTCCTTAGTGAACTCAGCAGAGTGAGTGATGATGATGACACCACCCTCGAACTTCTTCAGAGCCTTGGACAGAGCACCCAGGGAGTCACGGTCCAGATAGTTGGTAGGCTCGTCGAGGACGATCAAGTGGGGTCGCTGCCACGAGCAAGCGGACAGGACAACCTTGACACGCTGACCACCAGACAGACCACGCATACGCGAGTGAGAAACAAGCTCGGCATCCAGACCGAAGTTGGCGCAGTGAGACTCGATCTCCTTGCGGACCAGAGGACGGAACTGACCAGAGGCAAGGGCCTCCTTCATGTCAACATCAGCAACCATCTTCTGGTGAGAGGCCAGAAGCTCGGAACGGGGCAACCAGGCGTTGTCGGCAGACATCATGGGCACCCAGCGCTCGTTCTTCATGCCGACGTTCTCGCCGAGGGCGAACGAACACTCGTACTCGTAGCTGTTCTTGAACTTTCTTCGGCTGTTGATACCAATGACACGTCTCTGGGTACCCTCGACCTTGAAGATCCTGTCCATGGCCTTCTCATCCTCCTCAGTGATGATCTTGTTGGCACGGTCCATAGTCTCACGATCCTCACCAGTCTGGAAACGCCACTGGATGTACTCGGAGGGGGTCTTGTCCAAGTGGTTATCAATGTGGGCGAAGGCGTGCTGCTTGATGTAGGCAATACGGATGTTCTCGTGCTGGTAGATCTCACCCTGGGTAGGGATAAGCTCACCAGTGAGGACGTTGATCAGAGTAGACTTGCCAGCACCGTTGGGGCCAATGACGGCAATACGGGAGCCGAGCGAGCACTGGAAGGTAATGTCGCTGATCTGGGGCTTGGGGGTACCAGGGTACTGGAAGCTCATGCGGGTGGCACGCAGGATAGCCTTGGCCTTGGTCTTGACACCCTCGAGGAAACCGGGCTCGGGGAAGCTGAACTCAATCTCAGACTCGCCAAGCTCGTAGTAAGACTTGGCCGAGGGGTTCTTCTCGACGAAGGTCTTCAAGTTACCCTTGTAGCGCTTGAGCTTGAAGCGCTCGTAGTGAATGATGTACTGGGTAACGTTGTCGAGGAAGGAGCTGTCGTGCGAGACAATGATGGAAGTGCAAGGAGAGTTGATGAGGTAGTCCTCGAGCCACTTGACGTTCTTCACATCCAAGTGGTTAGTGGGCTCGTCGAGAAGCAGGATATCGGGGGCCTCAAAGACAGCACGGCACAGAGCCAGCTTCATCTTCCAACCACCAGACAGAGCGCTGATCTCACCGTTGACCATGGCAGGGGTGAAACCAAACTCATCGAGGCGCTTCCTGACGTCCTCGTTGGAGACAGTGACCTTGGCCTGCTCGAGCTTCATCATGGTCCAGTCAATGGTGGTCATCTCAGTATCGGCAGAGTCCAAGTCGTGCTCGACGAAGACAGTCTTGACCTCGCTCTGCTTGGGGAAACCCTCGACCTGCTCGTTGTTGATGGCACGCATGAGGGTAGACTTTCCGGAACCGTTGGGACCACAGAGACCGTAACGGCGGCCACGCTTGAGACGCAGGTGGGTCTGGTTGAGAAGAATCTTGGCACCGTAGGCAAGGGAGAAGGTGCAGTTGCAGAGGTCCTCACCCTCGTCATCGTCAATCTCCTCAGCGCCGGCATCAGCCAGGCTGGGGGAAGCACGCTTGCGCAGAGCCTCAAGAGTGGACTCAGCGTCGGCCTCGCCAACAATGACAGTCAGGAAGGGCTTGACGGCAGGGGCCCAGGTGGTGATGTCGACCTCCTTCTCGTCAACGAGCTGGCCACCAATTGCGGCAACGTACTCGAGGACAGGGGCGAGCTTCTCAGCGGTAGCAGAGTGCTTGCTGGGGATGGAAGCCTTGACGTGGGCAAGGACGGTGGCCAGGTCACCATCGTGGCGGACCTCGGGGATCTTGCCGTTCTTGACGTCACCGACACGGATGATGGTGTCGAGAGCCTGCTTGGTCTTCTCACGGGCCTCGGGGTCAGCCAAGTTCTCGTAGTTCTTCTGGAGACCTGGCATCATCTTGGGCAAGAAAGGAGCGACAATGTTGGGGTCGTCAACGAGCTTGCACATGTTGTCGACAATGACGGCAGCCTTTCGCTTGATGGCGGTGTCTCGCTCAGCAAGACCACGATCCAAGAGAGGAACCATGAGGGCCAGGGTGGGCTCCTGAACCTCGGTGACGAAGGTGGTGGCTCCGAGCAAGTGAACGGTCTCGGGAACGTTCTCAGGCTTGGCAATACACTTGATCAGCTCGGGAATGAAGCGCTCGATATCCTTGTTGACGATCAACTCGCAGATCTTCTCCATGGTCTTGTAGGCGCGCTCCTTGACCTCCTTCTTGGTGTCCCACATGGACTCGGAAACGACGGGGATGAGCTCGGGAACGCGGTAGGCCAGCTGGGCGGGGGCAACGCGGACGAGGATCTCAATGCAGTCGAGAGCAGCCATCTTCTCGGGCCACTTCTGGGCCGTGAGGATGGAGTTGACAATGTGGGGGAGGACGGCCTTGACGGCGTTGGGGGTGATGGCCTCCACGATGGCGGTGGTGGCGGCAATGGCAGCATTCTTGACGCCAGTGATCTTGTCGCCGATAGCGGCCAAGGTTGCGGGCAGCAGAACGACGAGGTAGGGCTCGACGTTGGCGCCAACCTCGGAGTGCTGGGCAATGGCCTGGATGGCACTGCAGGCCTTTTCTCTGGCGGTGGCATCCTTCTTGTTGGCCAGCTCCTTCTTCAGGGCCTCGACAGTCCTGTTCGCAGGTCAAGTCAGCATGCAAATCGGCAACTTTCTTGGGCAAGGTTTGAAAGCGAGCGACGGGAAATGTGCAGGGAAACGAGTCGATGCAGGGATGGGGCGTCTTCTTCGTTGCAGGGCGGCAAGTCCCGCTGCGCACAAGAGGAGGGGCGCGAAAAGTTTTGGCCAGCGAATGCAAAACCGCTCTAGCCACAGGAGCCCAAACCCCGGATCCGACCCCCAAGCTTGCAGCTGGCACAGTGCGCCCCAGGCCGAGCCCTGCAGCTGCCAAATCTTGCAAGCTCCAGCATGCGAGTTTGAGCGGCCTGACCGTTGGCAGGCAAAACTGGCCTTTGCCGCTTTGAGGGAGGTGGGCATGATTTGGGCCAAAAACAAATGAGGGGTGTGGAAAAAAAACCCAACAGTGGGTCTGCGACTGGCCACAGTGCTGGGAGGGGCAAAGTGCAGTGATAGCGGATGGGTGGCGGGTTTTGGGATTCTGCTTACTTGGTGGGAGCCTCCTGGTCCTCAATGCGACCGTTGATGAAGCTGGCGAGGGCTCCAGTGGTCTCCTTGATGTCGGCAGCCTCCTTGGAGACGCTGAGCTTCTTCATCAGGTCATCGAGGACCTTGACGGACTGTGCGTTCTCCTTGGCAGACATGTTGGCTGGTTTTCCGCGGAGAAAGTCGGTGTGTGGATGGGTGTCGTGAGACGTCGAGTAGAGAGGCGACCGGGAAACCCGTGTGGAATCGCTCGTATTCGGTCGTCTATGCGAAGAGGAAGAAAATCCCTAGAGCGCACCGGACGTCTATGGCGGATTTATCCTGCGCGACTGATGTGCCGGGGAAAAGCGAAGGGATGAGCCCACAGATGCTGATGGAGAGTCAGATCTGTTCTATGGCGGCTATCTCTTGCTGAGAACAACCTCGTGGTATAGGAAACCTGCTGAGTGGAGAGCCCAGAGAGTTCCTTGTACTGAGGAAGGAGGAGAGTGAAAATTAATGGGAGGGAGAAATGGAGATGGGGGAGGGAGAGAAGGACGTGGGCAGGCGGAGAGGCTGTGAGAGACTTTTTATTCAGGAATCGCTGCCAGCGGCCCAGAATAAAACTTTTTTGATTTTTTTTTTTCGGGCGAGGGGCAACAACCGAACTTTTGGTGGGATGGAGGGGGAACAGGCTGGAAAGGTCAGAGTTGACGGCCACTAGGGGACCACGGGGGGCCCACTGGGCGACTGGCTGCAGGGATACAGCCCACCTGCGTTGGCCTGAGGACCGCCCAACTCCTCCCCTCTCCCAGCCTAGGGCGCACGGACCAGACTCGCCTCAGCAGCGCGGCAGGGGTACATCCCACCAAATCGTCTCCCAAAGTGCCCGATTGTCAGCCGCTGATTGGCCCCCAGCCGTCGGCGGCGACTCATGCTTATCGCTTTATCCTTTATCGCGCTGGGGGGCCAGGTCTGTCTCGGCAACGTCCACGAAGGCGGTGAGCATTTTAGCGGCCGCCGTTGCGGTGCGGGTTGCATGTCTATGTCTAGCATCCATCTTCCAAGTTTCATCTTTTTCCCATCCCCAAGCTTGCCAGGGCTGGCCATCCAGCCCTTCCCGCTATGGGGACCTGTCCTCGACCCGCGCTACCTGATCCGACCGACTCTTAAAAAGCGAGGATGTTTACAACGCACCCTGTCGAGAGTGCTACATGTCAAAGAGATACGTATATGGATGAGGTACCTAGGTTAGGTGCTCCGTGCGCAAGTTGGTGATTTGGGCGACTGCCCGCAACTTTCACTTGTTGCTCAATGGACCTCGCAGCACTGCGTCTCGAGATAGCGAATAATGTGTTTCATAGCACTGGGCCACTCTGGCATTCTTGCTTTGCGTCGCTAGCTCCTTACGGTTCTCAAATGGGTATGGCAAAAATTCATTTTTGTATTTTGCCTCTGCCCGCTGCTAGGGTTGCGATATTCAATCGGTGTCCTTTCTGCTGTACTTCCGCGTTCCTGCCTCTTGCGGATGCCGTCGCGGGCTATCAGGACGCCCAGAATAATCTGCTGCTCCACTCTCAGGGATTCCCTCCTCGCATCGCCACTCTGAACCCACGGGCAGTGCCCCCCATTCCTGTGCACGTTGAATCCGGGGGACAGCCTAGGGCCCTGTCGGCCATGAGAACTCCGCGTCGCAATCCAAAGCTGAAGCCGGCCTCGTTACACAGGGGTTTATTTTTAATTCACATTCGTGCCGACCCACAGAGATTCCAAGTCAGTCAGCCTCTCAGCCCACTTCACTTCACTTCACTTCAAGTCATAAACGCGCCCTAGCGACGTAGTTATGGGCTATCCTTTCAGGTTGCACGGCATACCCGAACGCCTACACTGCCTGTGTCTTCGGCGCGACTTGGTCCCTAGTTCCTTTGGAGGACAACAGCTTAATGTTAGGCACTGCATGCATTTTCAGTCTAGGAGGAATTCATTTGCCTTACACACTCTGGGGTCTCCAACGGGTGTCGGTGGGCCGACGCGTGCTTCGCTTCCCTTTGATGCCACCCCAAAATTTACGAATTGCTGTTATGCAGCTTACGTCGGGTAGTGAACGTCTTATCTCAGCCCTGTGTCATCCCACACGTGCTCCATGGGAACAAAAGGAGCTGCTTGGAATACCTACTACGTGCAATCAACCGCGCAACCCCCCTGGAAGAACCCGAAATCTCCACCCGCCCACCCCCGGATTCAGCCTCCCTAGTTACCTCTTAGTAGTCTACCGAATCCGGGGTGTCCCCTAAGCTAGACAACCCGACCCGTAGTCGCGCTGATAAACGCAACTCCCCTCTTCTCGGACCAAGCCCAGCGTTGCTATTCCAATAGTGTATTCACATTCTTTCTGCAATGTCTGATCCAACTTGTCGTTACGGAGTTCCTGTAAGCCGGCTCGCCAGATCTTCCGCTATAGAAATCTTGCGATGGAACATAAGTCAAGTCAATTAGTATCATCCGAGTCCCCCGCCACATCCGGACAAAGATTTGTACTTGAAACGAAACAATGAGTCACTTACGAGCGAGCAAGCAATACCATTTATTTGCGTTGTTGGATGGCTCTTCATAGGTGTTCTTTGAATAACATGGTCGTTATTTGTACGGTCTCGGTCTCGGTCTCCTTTTGCGCCTTGGCGACCCGAATACAGAAGATACGATCCAGCTGCTTTTCATTACAGTGAAGTACGGCGGTTCTCAAGGTCTCACGCTATTCGGTTAAGTACGGTATGTGCCGTCCCTGTGAGGCGAATATTACTGCCACTTCTACGTGCCGTACCAAGTCAGTTTGCTCAAGGTGACGTTGTCCGGATCACGCCAAATGAGCTGGTTTCTGTCACCCCAGAGGCCTTTGCGGGTAAGCATTACACGAATCTTTTCTCCTTGTCGCACTCAGATGATATCAACTGATATGGAATATGGACTAGATCTATATGGATCACATAGCAAAAAACCTAGAACTTTTTGCAAAGACCCAAATGGACAACCGCGAAAACGACAAGCATGGAGGTCTGATCTGGGAATGGGATCCCGTACGACACCGCGAAGTGGCCAGACAATTAGCTCCGGCATTCAAAGGCTCGGCGCTCAGAGCCAAAGAGCCGTCCCTGCATCGACCCATCGACCTCTTTGTTGATCGTATGAAGACTCTAGGCTCGGGTGCCGCTGGTGTGAGTTTACACACCTCGACTAACTGGCTGCGCGTGAATATATCTGCCGATATGGCTTATAATGGGAGATGAACGCTCTAAAAGACGGTCATCCTTCTATTCATATTCCACTATTGGGTGATTAATACTTGGATCGGTGAAACTCCACCGTATCTCGCTCTGCTTGCCGGTTTCAGTAAAGTTCTTGCAATAATCCAGGCATCTTGGCGTTTTCCTCTCCTGGAGCTGCTGAAGTATCCTATCCTATTCACGACCATGAGGCCCCATTCGCTCATAAGGGATCACAGCCGGGACCAATTGGAGATCCGCATACGGCGTAAAGGCTCTGATTTGCATCTAGATTTCTTTGAACAATTAGTTCCCGAGAATTGAGAACTTCCCAAGGGCCGTGACGAAGCCCGCCACCCCGAACAAGTGGCAGGCCAGTGACTAGTTGCAGGATATGAGCCTCCGGCACTTTGGCTCTATTTCACGATATATTATCTCCTTAAAACCCCTAAGGCCCTGGGGAATATGATACAAGAAGTGAGGACTACTTTCCCCTATTACGAAAACATTACCTACGAAGGTCCCAGTAATCCTCAACCACTACGCAGAATTCAATTACAATAGCGCGGTGCTCTAGTGTCCATCGTAGGCCTGCGCAATCATTCCAACATTGAATGCTTGCGTGCTACTCACAGGATTGGTCAAGAGGTTGTAAATTGCCGAAGCACTCTCACCTGTCCCAAGATACATCCACGTTGTCAACACGATCGCCGCGAATGGTCCCCGTCCTCCAGGTATGAGGTCCGTCACTCGCTCTGGCTGTGCCGCCGGGACGCCCTCTATCCGGAAATCGCGCTGACAGTGAATACAGCCAAGAATGCTATTGAAAGGATGCGACGTGTTCACGTCGCCAGACTGGAGGAATACATTCCCGTGACTGCGCAAGCCCGCCCCCATACTATTAGTAGAATCAACTAATAGCCGGAAGTTCCCGTCGCCCCTTGCAGTGGGCTCAAGGTCGAAAAACGCGTGGTCGCAGATTGGTATGCGATAATTCACTTCCGGGAAGTTCAACACCTGGACACGTTGCTCTCGGATGAATAGCCCGCGTTGGGTGACTCTCGCGCTATGAGAAGTTCCAATATAGGCTTTTCTCGCAACATTGGCGACTGTTCTGGCGGTCAGCAAGTACTGCAAGTGGTTGATATGAGCTTGTAGGGTGAGGCCTCGAGGCTTCTCTAAGTATGCAACAAGCGCACGCAGAACCACAGGGTGGAATGCCAAGGAAAATTCACTAAACTTATAGGGTTTATACCCGATGCCACTACAATGCCGTTGGATGTCAATTGGCTTGTGGCCCTGCAGGCTCTCGAGGGGAGTATGCAGGATATTGCACCATGGGCAGTACACTCGGTCTGGGTCCCCGTTACCCCGCTGATATCGGTCAACTTCTCTCTCAAGCGCTGGTAAAACTGTCGACCTCTGGTCGAAGCTTTCTCCAACCTTTCTTTCTCTTTCCGGGACCTTGGACCTCAATGTTCTGCTGACTAGTGCCAGAGCTGCTACATCAGCTGGCGGAAGGTCGTCTGACGCCAATTTGAAATGTATATCCGCTGTAGCACGTTCTATGGGCGCCGAACCGGTGGCATAATCGCGAGTAAATGCCGACATGGTGACTCGAATTCCTCCAAGCCTTAGGAGTTGTTCAAATGAAGTTGGGTGGATGTAAAGAATCAGGCGATGAATCGGAGAAAGCCAGTGTCGCAGAGCGCAGTGATCATCCAGGCAGATCTGTTTTATATCTGAGATCATCAAGCCATTACAAAGCACTTGTTCGTGCTATCAAGAAATATGGTTCGTAACACGAGGCGTTGTACAGAAATTCTTGCCATCCTTGACTGTTTAGCAACCTCTAGTATAAGCGTAATGTTCCATCAAGCTTCGCTCACAACACAAGAATATCAGGCTAATACTTGTGCTTTATGCAGCTAGAACCAGATCAGTACGTGAATAACACTTAAATGGCCTGTGTCTTGATACAGATTTTGTCAGCTGCCGCATAAATTGCGAGTTTTTCTCATCGAGGATTCAGCTGCTTACACTCCTTGCTCAGGCCTGATTGACTTCATGACAAGAAAAGCGTTGGTGAACGATGATTACACTAATTTCGGTTCACGTATTGTCTAGTCCGCTGTGAGATGAAAAGGAAGCTGGAACATGCAACATGGGGCATAATGAAGCTGGACAAAGGATTTGGTAGGTCTTTGCAATGCACATTCAAATTCCGAAAACGGCGGCGATAATGTAATTCAACGAGCTTACTGGTTGACCGCAAGCAACTAATTCTGCAACCGCACGTCTCTCATGTCCTTGTAGTACCCTATATCAAACTGTTTACGGGGGCTATCTACTTTGCCGAGCAACATGATAACTGGCCGGCAGTAACTTCTCTAACTGATTGGCTTTGATATCAAGAATACAATTGACATGGAAAGTCAATCGCCAACACCTGGACCGCTGCAATCAGATCTCATCGATCAACAGAATGTATTGGGCGGCGATTCGGAAGATGGTTCGGCGACAGCTCCGGCTCCACCACAAACACCAGCAGAGCGAGCCCGAGCGACCATCTCACAACCCAACTTCCCTTCGTCCAATTATGATTTTGCACCATTTCTCACGGCGCTCTATGAAGAAAATCGGGACTTGGGTATCCCAGCTTGGGACGATGATAAGGACCCCATAAACATGGGTGGCAAGGGCCACGACCACGTAAAAGGACCAAGAAGGACGCCAAGGAGGCCCGGCAAAGCAGAATCGAAATACATGGTCTATGTACCCTCTTGGACCTCCCCAGAATTTGACATAGACAGGGAGCTCAAGCTCCCGGAATGGACATGGAGGGCGCGGCCGAGACGTGATGCGACTCAACGGCTTCGTCCGGCACTGTTACCTCAAGATATCCTGCGAAACCCAACCGATTATGCGAAACGCTGGGGTATGCACCCGGACCGCCGGGACGGGCGGAGCCGGCTAAGCCCAGCTAATGCCACTTCGCGGAAGCTGACTGGTATCTTGCAAGCTCAATTAGACCAGCTGCCTCTGGCGGAAAAGGTTTTGTTGAGAGACGAAACTGCAAAGCGGCAAAATATTTCAATCGATCCTGACTCTGAACCCGCCCTTGAGATCAATGGACGAGCCGCTGTCGACGTGGATGTCTTTGAAGATTACAAGAGAGTGAAAGGCATGCCCCGAATAGCGGACATCGTACAGGATCCGGTGGTCCAAACCCATCCGTTCGACATGGTCGCAGCCGGGCTTACCCATGAAGCACGAGAATACAGCAAAGGGCTCATCCAAATGATCCAGGATGATCAAGACTGGCAGCGCCTACTTTTTCATGATATGACGACAGACGAACTCATCCGGCAGAATGTCCATACCATGTCGAATGCTGAAACATGCGACTTGGATTTGACAGAGCCGCTGCATCCGTGAGCACAACTTGTTCAACCAAAGCAGGTGAAGTGTACTAATACGCAGTTTAGTTTAGTAAGGAGGGATTTATGGGTAAATTGCGATCACACGGGCGGTGACAGGTACAACCCACGCTTTGTTTACTCTATGGGTGGAATTCGTGAAGAGTGGCAAGCAGTAAGGCCTTTTGGTGCGCTTCCACAAATGTCGCCGCGGAGTGACTGATTAATTTCCAAGGCCGATAACGATCGAGTTTGGGATGCTTTGCAGCCAGCCCTGCAAATTGTTAGCCGTATCCTCAGGCAGCGTCCTCGTGTATGGGAAGCCCTGAAAGACCTCCGCACTCGACAGAAAATTGACAGCAGCTATGATACCAGGGAGGATCCGAGAACAACCCATCTCGTCAAAATGGTGGCTGTCGACGACATCAATCTTGACCTATGCTGGGAGCCTGTTCAGCGTCTGACCGAGTTGGGATTCAACTCTGTCCAACGTGTCGAAGAGGTCTTGGATGGAGCTGTGACTTATACTATCGGTACTGGTTTCATGGATCTGTATGGGGGAAATAACAAAGAAGATGCTTTCACTTACGGAATAACCGGCGGCTTCGAAAGCCAAGATATAGAGATCAGGCTTGCAGCTGAGCTAGTGTGGCCTCTGCTAGTTCCAGAATATAGCAACAGTGAGAAGCTCGCAGCATCATGGTCGGTTGCTTCGACGCTGTTACACGAGATCATGGTCTGTATTTGGGTCTTCGAGACAAATCTATGAACTTACTCACTAAATTATGTGACAGCATGCGACGTCATATGCGGTCGCCGCGTTATGCGTCGCCGAAGGGTTTTCGGCCATCCACGCCCCTGGTCAGCCCCAGGAAATCTCGAGGTTACTAGAAGAAGTTGGTACACAGATGGTCGACATGAATTTCGGTAGCGGCGAACCGTTTTTCCAGGATGACCTCTGGACCGAGACCGGTTTCGCCTTCGAAATGGACCACTTCGGCCAATTTTTTGGATCCTTGGTTGACAATGTATTGCTTTCCAAAATGATCACCTACGTCCCGTTTGCATTGATGGGATCAAGATCTCCATCCGCTGTGGATAATCTAGTGCTGCTGGACACGATCAAGACAGCGGATGTTTTCCAACAGCCTGTACCAATCGACTGGTTTCACCGGTTCTTTCAAACGACATTCTGGGAAAACGACCTCCCGAAATGGGGCCCAGTTGCGTACAAGCTTCTTCCCCCTGATAGATCTTTGTTCACTTTGAAGAGCAACGCACATTGGAACCGAGAAGCTTTCGTGACGATAGTCGGCAGGGGAAACATGAACTTTTTTAGGACTGTTTGGGGACTATTGGGCGAGAACGGCTTGGACATACTTGCGAAGTATTGCATGTATAGCTTATGGGAGATCCGAGACTATTCGATGATATCGTCGCGGTGGAATTCGCAAATGGAAATGTGGAAGGAACATAGCGACGAGGCAGTATTCCCGATTCCCCGAGCACTGGAACACTTCAATGTGGATTTAAGAGTGGCGGGAAGCATCCTGAAATGTTTCTTGCAGAGAGAAGAGGCCACGACGCAAGCTTGGTGGTATGACCAGTATCCAAACGATGGGGCGGTGAATCGAGGCAGTGAGTCAACCGCAGATTGGTGCAAACGAATAGAACGGTTTTTCCAGATATACTGGAAGGCAGATGGCGGCATAATCATCAGGCATGTGGTGGAAATTTACACGTTACTCAGGAGTGATGTCGAGAAGCAACTGTTGTATGCGTACGAGTACTTCAGTGTCAACAGGAACGGGCGGCGCTTTCTGTACCAAGGGCGTGGGAGGAACCGGGAACCGCTGACGTGGATTCTGGGATTCCTCAATGCCGACAGAGAGGCAGCCGATGAAGTCCTCACTGTCCTGGACAGTGGCGTCAATCTTCCGAGCTCGGGGAATATTAACAGCGGCAGCTGGCAGGAGTGGCGACAACGGTTCGAGCTCATCCGAGACACCGCAATTGAGATGCTGAAGCAGGTGCAAGCTGATTTCCACGACCAACTGAGCACCGAGGATGTCCAGGGGTTGCGTGATAGGAACACGCTGGTACCTTCATCGTTCGCGAGGACGAAACTCGACAAGATACGGAAACTAGCCCAACGAGAGGCCATGCTTGTCGACCATCGTATAAGAGACGCGTTGATGGAGTTTGATAGGAGAGTCAGCATCTTCAAGCAGAATTCGATCGAAACCTTGTTCCCTGACGGCACGCCTTCGGTCGCCGACTTCCAGATCCCGAGCTTAGACGATGCTGCAGTGCAAATTTTGTCTAGTGGGAATCCGATATCTTCACTACCGCCGCAGGATACCAATCAATCAGGGCAGGCTTCTGTGCCGTCCAGCGGAGATGCACGTGTCGACATGATGAACGAGATCAATAGGCATCTACCTTGGCTCAACAACAGTTCGGGCCGGCGGAGGCCGCCTCTACGTGACGCAGTATCGTCGACATTGTCTGGCCGTATTTCCAAATCCTCATGGGGTGGGACGACTGATCAGAGTAGAACCGGCTTAGGTTTGGCCAATCCGAAGTTCTCCAGCTTTCTACCAGCTACCACCAACATTCAGGCTCAGCTCCATGGCGTGGTTCCCCAATCCACCATCCCTGGCCCACAGGCTGCAAACCAGTTCAATAGGGCCGCTGGACCGGACTTGCAAGGAAGGGTTGATATGATGGGTAGACCAATTACCGCAGCGCCCGCGACGTATTCTGTCCTATACAGCGACCCTTATGCCGGGCCGAGAATCACCACCGCCGACAGCCAGTTTGCTATGCAACAGCAACAACTGGAGCAAATAAATGCTGCTGCAAGTGGAAACGGGCCACCAAAATTTGGCGGTTTCAGAGATCCGCCAGTCGTAGTCACGGATGATTCCTCGGATGATGGTGTTCAATAGCAAAGAAGACAGACTCGCCATAAGCGGTCATATTTGAAGAGTAGTGTAACAAGCTTCTACGTACTGCGTAAAGATAACTCTGGAAGGCCCGCCTTTGGATCTGGTTGATGATGCGCGTGGGTGGAATACTCTTGCGCAACAAGTATCTTGTTTTTGGTTCTTGACCAAGGGAACTGTCATAACCCCCTTCGAAACATGGGCGACATGTGGAAATCCGTAGTCGGTATTTTTAGAGTGCCCTTTTCCGAGATTGAGTTAGTGGTGTCCTGTTGGCGCCGATGGCCATCTGAGCCCAGCTATTTGGTTGGCTAATGGCCAAAGTAGCGGGCCAGCTAAAACAACAATTGCAGCGTCAGCGGTAGCCAATATTCTTAGGACATGGAAACCGAATTTAGCACATTTTTGAGGTTCAATTTCAGTTTTCTGTTCACTGTTTCTTCTAAAGCGTTTTACCTACATCTGCTTTCTGTTTCCTGGTTTCCAAGATGGTGATTCTTAGATCTCGGACAGTCGCCAGATTCGTAGAAACTACCTATCTATATAAAGTTGATGTAAATGAACCCCAAATGTGCATTCTCGCCAACCACTGACACTCTGCACCGAAGACCACTAAATCACCGCAACCTACATTATGAACGCCAGTTCTCTATACGGCTCTTTCGTAGCAGTCAAATGCTCTGTTGTTGCCCATGCCACTGTGGACACGACCATCTGGGCTAGCGGAGCCTCCTTGCCACCTTTGAGTGTCGTCCAGACTCGTTCTGTGTTTGCATCCCAGCTCCACCTCCAAGACTTTAACCGCCAAACCTCGAGTCATAGCCAACAGGTGCGCCGGAACGCACCCCAGCATCGTCGCCACGTCTCTACGTTACCATCTCACCGCTCCCAGTCGCGACGTTCCCGCAATGGGCACCGCGTTAGGACAGCAAGCCGATGTTCCGGCATTGCCGCTGCAGGAACTCGCTATAAGACCATGCGGGCCAGATACATTTCCCAAGTCGCCGTTCTCGAGAAACAGCTCCAACTCCAGAAGTTCTGCTCGTTGACTGGAGGTAATTGGCTCTTATGTCGACCCCCACCAGTTCCACTAATCCTGGGTAGGTTACAGCGGCTCGATATTCCATCAAACAGCGGCGCCCATCCAGCCCGAGCTGGCTCGCGGTTCGTCCCAGCGACAGTACATCAACCAAGGTTGCGCTTCTGCACACAAGTATCGAGCAGTGACCTGCTCGTTCGTTGATCATAGAGCAATTTCTCAGGGCACCCACGGGGTGGTCATGATGGTGGTGGTTATGAGAAGGAGTATTTACACCGAGGGATGCGGCCGGCATTGAGATCAGTGCCGGCAGTCGAGTTGGAATCATGGATACAGTTGTTGCAGATTGTTTTTGAGCTTCCTTAGGGTGCCGTTCATCGGATTGGGGCTTGGACTTGGCATCAATTCTTTTCCTTAATATACTTGGGACTTTCATTAGTTAGGCTTCTCCTCCCGGTTCCGTCCACCCCTTGAAGTATCAAGTGTCTGGCTCACCTGCATAGGTATGAATCGGGTCCATAACAATGTTGTGTGCCACACCGCGAACATGGATGGCCTCTTGATCAATCGAAGATGAACACAAGGGCGCTAACTTGTTGGAACGATCTCCCAAAGCTTGAATACTGTGTGTATTTGAGTCGGCTAGAATAAGCGCACGCCACTAGATTTCCTCTTCAGCCTGCTAATACCGGTATGGTAGCCTTCCAGCGTCAAACTGATTGCAGATCCTGGCTCGGCTCGGCTTCCGCACCCTCCCCAGAACGGCAAGTTAGCGGCTACCAGCCAACCAGCCAGCCAGCCCAGCCGTAACTTGATGGACCACCTGGGCAGAGTTAGCGGCCTTCCCATAGCGGGAGACCCCCCCCCCCCCCCCCCCCCCCCCCCCCCCCCC